TGCTTCTATCACTCTTGGAGTCCGGATTAGCAATTTGGCGAGGAGAAAAGAGGGAAGAGGGAAATGGGGGCGGCAGGGTAGCAGCGGCAGGGTAGCAGCGGCAGCGGCAGCGGTGTCACCTCCGACTTTTTCCCTCCCTTGCTGCTCGTCGTCTCCCCAACCAACTCCCAAATCCTAACTCCTAAGACACCAAGTTCCTGGGATCTTGGATTCCCAGCGGATCCCTTGCAAGATCAAGCCCTGCTTTTCTGCGGATCCGCCGCTCGGATTCTTCTTTGCCTGCGAGGCTCGTCCTGGTTAAAAAGGCGTCCCCCCTCTACTCCTGGCCCTCGCCCGCTTGCCTTTGCGCCTCCGGGCTGTCTGTTTGCGCTCTTACGCGGGTCGTGAGAACGCTCGCTCCGTGCCCCGAACGAATCTTTGTATCTTTGTCTTCTCTTACTTTTCCCTTCTCTCGTGACGATCGAGGATGCTCTATCCGCCGCCCCGTTTATCTCTAATAACTTCTTAGTCCAGGTTTCTTCAGCTTTCACGTGGGCCGATATTGTTTTGAAAGGCCAGCAAACCACCAAACGTTTACTCTAAACTAGTTCTATTCGAGTCTAAGTCCCGAGAGCGCCAAGCAAGAGGCCCCATCGGGCTATCTAGGCGAAGTTCGCCTGATGCCGCCATTTCCCTCACCGTCTTCCTGCCCTGCCGATCACGGGCGCCGCCATCCGATCAAGCAGCGGCTGGGGCTCCGGACGCCTGAGACAGGTTCGTCCTCCTCCCGATCGTTCCTCGGCCATTCACCGGAGCATTTCTTGCTGGGAGATTTGGCCAGCCCGAGGAGCGCACATTTCATGCCCGCCGTGGCTACGGCTGCAAGACCCGAGCCCTCGCCCGCATATGTGTGTGAGACACACAGGGCAGGTCCTCCCAAAGCCAGAGTTGCATAGATCTTCATGGATCTATGGAGATTCTCAGTCATTCAGTCATGGTTGTCCCAAAAAGGTTTCTTGGATGAGAAACGAAATGTCTTCAAAGAAAAAAACAGAAAACAACAACAACAAAAAGTCTAGTTGCCTCTTGAAAAAAGCACCGTCATGGTGTTCATGGGTCATTCATGCCTTCCAAATTTCCCAGGGCCTGACCTACATCCCATCCCTCAGCAGCAGCCAAAAAAGCTAATGCAATCCTAAGTTGCATTAACAAAGGGATACAATCAAGATCAAGTGAGGTATTAATAACACTCTATAAAGCCTTAGTAAGATCACATCTAGAGTACTACATCCAGTTTTGGTCACCGCATTATAAAAAAGATGTTGAGACTCTAGAAAAAGTACAGAGAAGAGCAACCAGGATGATTAGGGGACTGGAGGCTAAAACATACAACGAACGGTTGCAGGAACTGGGCATGGCTGGTCTAGTGAAGAGAAGGACCAGGGAAGGCATGAGAGCAGTCTTCCAATATTTGAGGAGCTGTCACAGAGAGGAAGGGGTCAAGCTATTTTCTAAAGTGCCTGTAGGCCAGACAAGGAATAATGAACAAGGAGAGATTTAACCTGGAAATAAGGAGAAACTTTCTGACAGTGAGAACAATCAACCAATGGAACAGAAGTTACCCTCGGAAATTGTGGAAGTGCCATCCCCGGAGACTTTCAAGAAGAGATTGGACTGACATTTGTCAGAAATGGTGTTGGGTCTCCTGCTTGGGCGGGGGTTGGACTAGATGACCTACAAGGTCCCTTCCCACTTTGATTACCTGTTTATCTGTATGGAATGATACAATTTGCTGCAGGCACTGTGACTGCCTCTGTAGGTGAGCATTCAGCCTTCAGTCATGAGTCTCCCTGCAATACTCATAGTGCAAGCCAGCCTCCCCATCATTTCTTGTAAACCAAGTCTGTTCACCTGTCACCCCATCCTTGGCCACCTACTCATTTTCCTCCGGTTATTACCCTCTTCCCCCCACATCCAGTTACAAGCTGGTAGTCCCTTGCAATTTCATTGGCTAGGAAATTGGATAGCTTCCTTCCGCAGCTGTTCTAAGTACTCAGAAATCCAAAGGCTGCCTTCCAATGGAACAGAGTCAGGATTTTCACAGAATAAAGTATAAAATTAATTCCTAGAGGGGTCTTGAGAATCTGAGCAAATAGAAGGGTGCACCTCAAAACCTAAGCATTCCAATAATGTGTCTGGTGGGAGTAAGGAATGACCTTACCATAGCAATAGTCACCTCTACCTCCTCCTATTGAGAGATGCACATAGAAAATTGAATGCCATTCCAGAAATATGATGTATCATTGGGCTATATATAGGAAGATCTGGGGTGGAACCAAGAACCATTCACTTGCCTTCTACATCTGTCCTGGGATGGTCACTGATCTTTCAGTCCTGGCAATCTGCTCTACCTTGAATAATCTTCTGCTCTAGTAAGAATCCTTTCCTTTCCTTTCCTTTCCTTTCCTTTCCTTTCCTTTCCTTTCCTTTCCTTTCCTTTCCTTTCCTTTCCTTTCCTTTCCTTTCCTTTCCTGTCCTGTCCTGTCCTGTCCTGTCCTGTCCTGTCCTGTCCTGTCCTGTCCTGTCATTCTCTCTCAGTCTAGGAAGAAGAAGGCAGAGGCAAACCCTTTCTGAAAATGTTATCTAGAAAACTGCAGGGATTTGTGCATGTAGTCATATATAAAATGCATCTTTTGCAAATGCTTGAGGGAAGGATAGAAGTAAGTCAAATTTTGCAGAGAATGGCTCTTGTTAAACAGTCCAGTAGATCAGAGGAGAGTAAGGTCCATCAAGAAGAGTAGCAACAATAAATAGGTCTATTCTTTTATAGATAAGGTCTATCAAGCATGAAGGATATCTCCTTCCTTCCTTCCTTCCTTCCTTCCTTCCTTCCTTCCTTCCTTCCTTCCTGCCTTCCTTCCTTCCTTCTTTCTTTCTTTCTTTCTTTCTTTCTTTCTTTCTTTCTTTCTTTC